GTTATCAGTTGGCATCTGTTGGTAACTTGTCAGTGAGTTAATGTTACTGGTTGGTCAATATTGGTAAAAAGCATGTCATTTGCCGATAGGGTTAGCTATAGTCTGCTGAATTTTGTTTAGATTTCCATTTTTTTTACTTGTACAAATTAACCTCCATTTTTATGGAGGTGGAAGTTTTTTTCTACAGGCTAACCTTGTACTTGCAGATGGAACACCTTCCTCTCCTTCATTGTTCCTTGTTGATCATAGATCTCCAGCATGTAAATTCCTGAGTCTTCCTCCTGCACTTTGCTGAAGCTCAGTGATCCGTCCTGAAGGAGTTGGCAGCGGCCATGGTGACACTTGGTGGTCCTGTTGTTGAGCAGCAGGTTGGCGTGTGTCCACCTGACATCCCTTGTTTTAGCCATCCTCTGGCTCTTGAGGCCGGATGGCAGCACAGCACTTTGACCACTGATTACAGATACGGTTAAGGTGTCACCAGATGAAGCTGGGATTTAGAAATTACACAGAGAGAACATGTAATGGATTAGTATCACACCTGCCAACCATGGCGGTGCTTATAGTGTTAAAGGAAAATTTATCTTTTATCAGAGTATAGTCTATTTATATAGCTAGAAAATAATTTAATTTAAACATTAAAGGGATTTCTAAATACAAATTCTTACATTGTCCAGCATTGGACCTAGGTTTGTCTTAATAGATAAAGATTTGCATTTTCTCTCTGTCTGCTTCAGGTAGATTTAGACAGGTCCCAATGTTTGTTGACAATACTAAAAACTTGTCGAAGCATGGTTATGCTTTCTAAAATGTATAATTTTATATATATATATATATATATATATACATATATATATAAGGTCATGTATATGATTTTTTTCATATATGTGATTTTTACAAGTATTTATTTGTATAATTAAGCTACAAATAAGTATTTAAACACCCATCTATCTGCCAGAATTGTGACCCTCAAAGACCTGTTAGTCTGCGTTCAAAATATCCATCTCCATTTCATTTATTATCTTGAATTAAATGCACCTGTTTGAGGCTGTTAGTTGCATAAAGACACCTGTCCACCCCATACAATCAGTAAGAATCCAACTCCTGACATGGTAAAGACTAAAGAGCTGTCAAAAGACACTAGATACTAAAGTGTACACCTTCACAAGGCTGGAAAGGACTATGAGGAAATTGCAAACCAGATTGGTGAAAAAAGGTTCACCGATGGAGCAATCATTCAAAAATGGAAGAGGCTAAACCTGACTGTCAATCTACCTCAGACTAGGACTCAATGCAAGATCTCACCTCGTGGGGTCTCAATGATCCTAAGAAAGGTGAGAAATCATCCCAGAACTACAAGGGAGGAGCTGGTCAATGACCTGAAAAGAGCTGGGACCATAATTTTCATGGTAACTGTTGGTGATACACTAAGACGTCATGATTTCATGAAAAAAAAAGAATGTTAATTGAAAGAAATGTTGAATGTTAGAACTGTAACATTACAGTCATATCTTTACATTGTTAACAGTAGTGTTTTTCTACACTGCTGCTTACCTTATCAAGGCTGCACTTAAAAAATGTAATTGAGAGCTTTTCTTAATTAAATCTCTTTGTGTTTACACTTGTATACAGAAGGACAAAATAAAATCTCTCTACTGAAACCTACTTGGAAATAAATCTGATTCTGATCTAGAGTCTTCATGGAGGAGTGAGCTAAAATCCCACCTGCAGTGTGTGCAAACCTGGTATAAAAAAAAAAAAAATACAGTAAACGTTTCAACTCTGGAATTGCAAACAAAGGATTCTGTACCAAATATTAACATTGATTTTCTCAGGTGTTCAAATAAGTATTTGCAGCTGTATCATACAAATAAATAGCTAAAAAATCCTATATTGTGATTTCTGGATTTTTTTTTAAATTATGTCTCTCACAGTGGACATGCACCTACAATGACAATTTTAGACCCCTCCATGATTTGTGTATGCATATGTATATACACATACACACGTGTGTATATATATATATATATATATATATATATATATATATATATATATATATATATCCATCTATCTTCTTCCACTTATCCGGGGTCGGGTCGCGGGGGTAGCAGCTTCAGTAGGGAGGCCCAGACGTCCCTCTCCCCAGCCACTTGGGCCAGCTCCTCCGGGGGAATCCCAAGGCCGTCCCAAGCCAGCCGAGAAATATAGTCCCTCCAGCATGTCCTGGGTCTCCCGCTGGGCCTCCCGGTGAGACATGCCTGGAACACCTCACCAGGGAGACGTCAAAGAGGCATTCTAACCAAATGCCTGAGCCACGTGAACTGGCTCCTCTAGATGTGGAGGAGCAGCGGTTCTACTCTGAGTCTTTCCGGATGACTGAGCTCCTCACCCTATCTCTAAGGGAGAGCCCAGACAGCCTGCAGAGAAAACTAATTCCAACCGCTTGTATCCGGGATCTTATTCTTTCGGTCATGACCAAAAGCTCATGACCATAGATGAGGGTAGGAACGCAGATCGACCGGTATATCAAGAGCTTTGCTTGTTGGCTCAGCTCTCTCTTCGCCACACCAGACCGGTGCCAAAACAGATCCCCTCAACACCTTGGCTGCACCTAGAAATTCTATCCATAAAAGTTATGAACAGAATCTGTGACAAAGGGCAACCTTGGGGGAGTCCAACCCTCACCGGAAACGAGTCCGACTTACTACCGGCAATGCCAGGATGAAAACTATGGAGAGATATTTGTGCCATCGGTTTGAGCGCGCAGGAACCAATCCGCAAAACAGGTCTGGCGCGCGCTTAACTCGGAAATCTATGGCAAGGCGATTGGGCCAATAATCGTCCGTACCGATTGGGCCAATAATCGTCCGCACAATAACGCGCAGTTCCAACCCGTATTTTACGCTCGGCTGTTTCTCCGCTCGCTCTATTCTCTGCGCTCGCGACTTGAGCAATGTATATTAATGAACCATACCATCAGCCAATCACGCTCAGCTTTTTTTCATCCAATGAAAGCATTCGTTCAAAATACTACATCCGGTTACTGATCACTGATTCTTTTACCCGATTTAAAAATAAATTCTGGAACTAAACAAAACACCATTCCTAATATTGGAATATTTTGAAGCATCCATAAAAAAACTTAACATATCCATAATATTTTTTTATCTATATATTGTTGAACCATACTTGATACTCTGAAATATCATCCTTATTTTTCTTTTAAAACAGCAAATTTAAATCCATGTCAATAGCAGGCAAAAGAGATGGATGAGGCAATGATCTAATAACTGTTTTACTGAAGTTTATTTGAGATAATTCAAGATATTTTATAGTACTATCTTCTGTCCATCAAATGGTTAGTATTGTTGAACAAATAACTGTAAGAGTTGTTTGATTTTCCTGATTGTATTTTTTTTTTCATTTAACCGGAAGAACAAATGCTTTCATTGGATGAAAAGAAGCTGAGCATGATTGGCTGATGGTATGGTTCATTTACATACATTGCTGAAGTCGCGAGCACAGAGAGTCGAGCGAGCGGAGAAATAGCCGAGCGCACAGCTGGTATTGAGCACGGAGAGAGCAGGTCAAGCGCGAGCAGAGACAGATCCGAGTACACACAGAGATGAAACAGTGTGTTGAGAGGGTTTTTCAGAGTTGAGCGCGCGTCAGACCGGTTTTGAGCGCGCGCTTGTGTTGTCTCACTGCGCGCTCGGATTGGTTCCTGCGCGCTCAAACCAATGGCACAAATATCTCTCCATAGAAAACTACACTGCTCCTCCTATCCAAAGTACCCTCCTTTCCAGGACCCTGGAACAGACCTTACCAGGGAGGCTTAAGAGTGTGATTCCTCTGTAGTTGGAACATACCCTCCGGTCCCCTTTTTTAAATAGGGGGAACACCACCCCAGTTTGCCAATCCAGAGGAACTGCCCCTGTCCACCCAATGTTGAATAGAAACGTTAAACAACACAGCCCCACAACATCCAGAGCCTTAAGGTACTCAGGGCGAATCTCATCCACCCCTGGGGCCTTGCCACCAGGGAGCTTTTTAACCACCTCAGTGACCTCAGCAACAGAGATGGAAGAACCCAACCCGGAGCCCCCAGGCTCTGCTTCTTCAATGGAAGACGTGCTGGTGGGGTTAAGGAGGTCTTTGAAGTACTCTGCCCATCGACATACAATATCCTGAGTTGAGGTCAGCAGCACACCACCCCCACTATAAATTCTGTTGGTACTGCACTGCTTCCCCCTCCTGAGACGCGGATTGTGGACCAGAATAACTTCGAAGTTGTATGGAAGTCTTTCTCCATGGCCTCTTCCGAACTCTTCCCACGCCTGAGTTTTTTCCGGGTATTCGAAAGACAGCTGTGGTTAGGATCTTGCTGCCATGGCTACCACTTATCTGTGGGTGGTTTGCTTTTGTTCCTCTTTATTTTGTTGTTCAATTGATCACCTGTTTGGTGAGATGGATCAGGGCCATTTTAAGTGAGTTATTTTGTTTGTGAGGTAATAATGAAACTTAGGTTACTAACGGTCTATGGTCATCATCACCACCAACATAACCAGCAGGGATAGACTCAACATGGTCGGATTCTGCAGCTTGCTCCTCTTCTTGGCAATCAGGCTCTGTGGAGAGGAAACATGCAACCCTAATGGTCAGAATGGGTTTGGATCACATGACTTCAGTCAGGTCTCACATCCTCTAGGCACACAACCATGTGGGCTGCAGCAGACATACTTCATTGACACACAGCAGAGTCACAAGGAATCAGATCATCAGCGACTCCAGCAGAGGCGATTATAGGAGCAGAGGTTTAGGGATGCTTACCCAGAGAGCTACCTGGCCAGACAACATTAATTTCACTGTTTTCTACTCATATTTTTTAAAGTTGTTCAGTGTATCATTCACTAATGCATGGTATCTGAGACATGTGCCAAGAACCTAACAAGAAAAGCAAAAAGCAGCATTTTTTAGAAGAAAATTCGAACCAATTAAAGATTTTAAATCAACTTTTTTCATGGAAACCTTTGAATCAGTTTTCATGAAATGTTTTTTTCTCTTTTGTGTGCCAAAATTACTTCCATGATATATTTAAAATAATCTACTGAATGAAAGGTTTTTCTATGCCAGTTTAACAACTGCTGTTTGGCCTGATGCCATTCTGTCGTTTTTCTTACCTGGTTTTTTCTGACCTTTCAATTTGAACACCTTGCTCCTCTGCTCCCCCTTTACTCCTCTCCCTCTTTAGACTGGCAATCATAAAATGGATTATAAATTCAAATAACTACAAACGGAAAGAAATGATAACGATTTACTAATGATTCAGTACATTTAAGTATTGATATTGACACAAGTCTCAGACGCATTAGTGCACCTCTCTGGTGAACATTTCATCAACACACCATCAATAGGTGCAGAAATCTGACTGAACATTTCAGAAAACACCCGAATGCAAAGATTTCCTCAAAGCGTTGGTCAACATTTTAGTTAAGGAGACCCATCTGACTTTTTTTAACTTGTTTTTTGTTTGTTTATTAATATTTCTGATGAACCAGAATATAACTGAAGGAGTTAAATAACCAAATACTTTATAGTTTTTACAATGTCACATTTTGTTTGTTTTTGTTTTTTATTGTGAAAAGCACATACAGTATTACAAAAACTACTCGTATTTTAGGGGTTCTTTAATTCAAATTAGGGTAGCTCTGGCCAAAAATAGGCTAAAAACGCCTATGGTCTGCAGTTTCTTTGTCTCTAGATGTATCTCAACTAGAATATCTACGTCATGTTCAAGAAATAAGTTTTTATCTGACAAAATTCATTCACTGAGGAAAAAGCTCCCATCAGTGGTGCTGCCAGGCTGCTGTAGTGGGAAGAAGTATTCAGCTATTAACCCTTGTTAAAAAAAACGGAGATTGATCGATTTCACTGTCGGCACTTTATTTTCTTATCTTTGCCAAGAGAGAACAGCCCTTACGGCACAGTAATTAGCCCTATTCTGACTAGACAGAGTTTGTCTCCCTTACTTATGCTGATGAAAAAACTGTGAAGGTTGTGTCAGAGTCAAATTACACACACTTTGACAAAGCTTGAGAAACAATTTAGCTTGTCGTGGGAATTAGTATGTTTTGTCTAAAGCCACCCCTCACTCAGACATTTTCTCAGCCTTGCAGGCGAAACAAACTGAGTAAAAACATTTTTCACTGGATAAATAGCACAAATAAATATATGACACAAGATAAATTAAGATTTTCCGACCACATTGCTAACAAGGTTTCCAGGGGAGAGCAGGAGAAACGGGCCCTCAGCATCACACCCCCTCTGCTGGCTCTCAGGTTCAGTCTGGATGCTCCTGCTCTCCTGGATTCACCTTTATGGTCAGTTTAAGGTCCTAACATCAATCTAATACTCTTATCATTGCCATCTTTATAGATAGATTTTTTAATTTTTCCCATTTGATGAGTGGATTTAGGCGTCATGTCATTAACATAAGGATTAACATCCTTGGTCATATAAAACTCCCGTTTACTGTGAATTATTCTACTGGATCTTCAACAGCTCTGATCCAAGGTTCTTCTGCTGTCCATCATGGTAGATGGAGAAGTTTGAGCAGAACTCACAGGAGCTGGAAGGAGTAGGCTGTCGGACAGGAAGTTCAGTGTGAGGTGAAGAACCACAGGCTGCTGAGAATAAACAGCCAAGCTGACGGTTCAAGCTCCACCACTGCTTCCGCTAACAGAACATCATAGTTCTTTAGTGTCCACATTAAAGACGACCTGGTCTCACCAGTATGTTATGATTCTGAACCTAGATATGAACATCATGTACTGGCCCCTCCCACCCCCCAGCCCCCACCCCCACCCCCCCAGATGCTGTGGGAAACCTGCTGTTCTATTCTTGGCCCCAGACACTCACCACCAACCTTTACAGACATGTCTTGTTTTCAGAGCTATGCAGACCTAAGAGGAGCTAAAATATGACACTTTCTAGATGGTTCTGCTGGACTCACTAAGACAATCTTCTTCAGACCCAGAGGTTCCTGGAAAACTTCTGCTTTGGATCAAAGTGAAATAGTTGGATCCAACTGTGAAGGAGAACTGTGAGAGTTCAAGCAGTCCCTTTCACCCCTCAGAAGCTAAAACAGCTGATTCCCATTTGACCCAATTTTCATCCCCATCTAAGTAACTCAATACGCTGCTTTTGGGTCCTTTTTTTGGTTCTGATCAGTTGGGCTTGTAGTTTCAGCGCTGTATGGCCACAGTGTCTGTTAGATCCGTTGGGTCTGATTCTGGTCTGTTCCTGTTGATTCTAAGGTCTCATCTGAACATCCAGTCTGTGCAATCATAGCCTAAAACAGATGGAACCAGCTACCCCAGCATGTTGGACTCCATCACTGAGAGCCCCAGTCTAAGCTCCTCTCTCTTTGATTCCATAATCGGATGTCGTTCTGACCCGTAGAACGACAGAGTGGTTCTGACCCGTAGAACAATAGAGTGGTTCTGACCCGTAGAAGGACAGAGTGGTTCTACTTACCTGAGAGTTCTTCAGAGGTCTGGTTGAGCTGCAGGATCAGAGACGGCGTGAAACCAAAATGAACAAAGCAGGAAATGAGACCAGAAGCAAGCGGCAGTCACCTCAATAGTTTCAGCTGCTGGAGAGAAACTGCAGAAAAACCCAAACACAGAGCAGCTTCTGGTGGTTCTGGTTCAGTCCTGCATCACTTCTGGTTATGCTGTCTGTCTGCAGGTGGTTCCGCTCAGGATGAAGGATCTAAAAGAGCTGTAGCTGCTTTCCAGGAACATCAGAACATGGTGAAACATTTTCCCCAAAGAGGAAAACATATTCTGGACAAATATCATCAAACATGGAGCTCAATATTCTAGCTCTAGTTTTTATATTGCTGATGATTTTGACTGAAAGGGAACAAACAATTTCACACAGACTGATCATTTCTCGTATTAATATGATGCAATTGTGACATCAGATTACAGCTTCATTGCAGCCCAAACATTAAATTAAAATGTCCAAATAAGCAGATAAATTATTTTTCTGTGTTTTATTTTAATCTGTTGCAAGTCCTCTTCCCTCCAGAGGGGAATGTTTAAATCTGCAGTACAGTGTTTAGGTTGCAGTGTTCAATGACTCTGATGTGTAACTTGCTCATTAACTCAGTCAGTAATCCTTTGCCACATTTGGCATCTCTTTCATGCCACTACCATGTTTGGCTTGTTTCCTCTTTGTATTTCTGCAAGATGAGTTTTTGTTCCTCTCAGGAGAAATATGGCACTCTCCCTTCGGCACTCATGGTTCTGATTGGACTGTTACCTTGAACCCACCCTTTTATTCGTGTTCACCACTGATCTCTATTTTTTTACTGGATTCCTGATAGCCCGAAAAAAGCGAAGTCACATGCTGCCATATTGGTACTCCCCACTCCCACGGAGATGCGCCATAGAAATCTGTAGCATTTGGCTTCAAAAACAAGCAGTTTTCTGGCTGTGGGAAGATGTTTCAAAGGTAATTTCTTAGTCAGTGGATGAACTAACCAAGAAAATCCATATGTACGCAGATATATCCTATAGTACAGTATGTAGCGTAACATTAGTGTCTTCTCACTTTCTTGGACTGACTCTAAGAGATTGACTTGGCTAGCCATTGACATTTTGTCTAACATTAGAAATTAGAAAGTAAATAGAAAGTAATATACAGTGAAATGTCAATGTGGTAATTCTTTATTGAGTGGATGAAACTGAAGTTTTTATAGTGCTTGTTGCATTTCTCATTTGAAAAAGTCATAGGCTGAAATATATGTGCTTAAGCTCTGTGGAGTTATTAAACTGGTTCATTAATTTAGCTGTATTGTAAATTTAAAGGTAGATTTAAATGCTCATGCATAGACACAGCATAAAAGTATATGACATGCATGCACAATTTGAAAATTGAAAGATTCTATAGCATTAACAGATATACACTTGTAATTCAGTCTCAATGTAAAATCTTGAAATTATATGCAATATGTAACTACCACAACAATGTCATAAATACATGTATATTACATGTACATCATCAATTTAGCACTTTTGGCACATCTGTATTATTGTACTCCATTAACACATTTATTTTGCTGACTGATTTGTATAATATGTCATATTACATTATTTATAGACTTCATACAGACTCCGCAATTTGATGTTCCATTTTTTCTTTTTAATTAAAGTAAACGACTGATGCTATGAAACAGCAAGTGTGTGTCAAAGTGATTAATTTATGTTTATTTTAAAAGTGTTAAGTCCCCCTGAACATAATCGTTGTTTGATGCTGTAGCACACATATTGTTTACATTGTGACCGGTCTAACTAGGTAGTACCAATATGTTGACCGGTGGCTTGACTTCAACCCTGTACTACCAATGGGCAATCAGCAATCCAGTGAATAAATAGAGAACAGTGGCATTCAGTTAATAACCAGCTTGGTGGTACCACCGATACCAATTGTTGTAGACTGTAACTGTAAACTGGGTAGACCCAGAGAAATCCTGATTGGTTGGGCCCGCTTCGAGGTAGGACTGGTCAGAACCGCTTTCCCCTCGATTGTTCTAATTATGCAAATATCAGCCCTTCAATTCAAGAACAAGCCAGGATGCCATTAAATAACATTTGAATGCAGTAATATAGGAGCAGCCTGTTTGCTGATTATGCAGCGTTATTTTTAGAGAGTGATTAAGATGCCTCTGAATATTTTCAACATTCTCTAAAAGGATTCAGGTTGTGGACACATTTTACACAGATCATTTAGAAAAAATACAGTGTCTTGGTTCAGCCTTTGACCGTTTTGTTTTGTTTTTATGACCGAAATTGCGGAAAACAACTAGCTAGAAGAGCGAGGTGCACGAGAACGCTGGGACCCTTTTACCACCTGGATCTCTGCTTTTTTTCGCCATCATGTCCCTCCATTGTCGGAAAAACTCTCCCCCACTTCCTCACCGCCTCGGCTTTATCTAGACCCATAGTGTATGGCACGGACCACGCTTCAATATTGGGCATAAATCAAAAATGTCTCCGTCAAGCTCACTGTGACACACAGCTGGAGGAGTATAACCAGGAAGCGAGGTAGGAGGGCAAAATAGGTTTAGCGCCACCGCAGCATGGGAGTCAGAATTACACCCAGGAGCAAATGGATAAAAATAGACCGGAGGGAAAAAAAAAGAACATGATTTGCTACTCTGCAGACGTGTCGATGCAACGGATTGTCGGCTGTTGGATCAATACAAAACAATTGTTATTTACACCCCTATTCCTAATGAAGGAGTTCTTATCTGTATTTGCCCAGAACCTTGACCACTGCATGTCGACACATGACTTACATGCAGGACGACAGTGTCTAACTTCACTTGCTCCTCTTCTATTGTTAATATGGTAAAGCCCTCTGGAGCGTCAGGCACCAGGCTAAAAGTGATACAAATTAGCCAATGAGCTGCTATCAGTCTGGGTTGCTGCTGCTGCTACTTTTAGACACAGCAGGCAAACCTGTGGCAAACCAGCGATGGGAGAGAAGGAGAAGATGATGAGAAAAAGAGAGCAGAGAAAGTGTGGATTGCTGGAAGAACTGAGGTGAACTGGTGAAGGAAAAGTGAAATGGGGTGCTCAAAGATGATCCTGCACATTTAGAGTATGTTTGGCTCAACCTGCTGCTGTGAACATAAGAATAAATATCAATCCAGGCTCAAAATGAGCACCTTTATATGTGCTTGAGAATGGCTTTGTCGCCATTCAATCCCAGGTTTAAAGCCAGGGCAGCATAAAGCCCACTGCTCTTATAAAGCCATAAAGAGAGAGAAAAAAGTAACAACAGTCATTTCAGGTGTTTTATAAAATATGTGAATCAGGAAATTGTCTACATAACAAACTGAACGATTTTTGTTCTCTATTTCAAAAAACACTTTAGATTTCAAAATGGAAAAATGTTTTTTCAATTAAAAAATTGTATAACATGGATGCATAAAAACCTAATTTTATTTCAGTGTTAAATTCTGTTCAAAGTAACAGATTATAATTAAAAATGTCTCTGGACTTTAACTGGTTGTTGTTGTCTTTATTTGGACCCCACAGATTTTTAATTGGTTCCCCCTAATCTAAAGTCTTCATCAGTAAAAGTTTACTGTAAGCGTTGCTATGGTTACAGGGTGTCGTTTTTCTGAGCATCCTGAATCTGGTTTTGATCCAGTCTCAGAACTTCTGCCCTCAAACCGGTCCCCCTGTTGTTCGGTGTTCTAATCACCAGAACAGGGCATAAGGTTAGGGTCCTACCGAACCATGTTTGATGCCATGAACAATCCATCAGAACCGGACACATGGCTCCAAAGCTCTAAACCAGTGAGACATCCAACAGAACCTCAGCTGACCCACAGAGCTCACAGGCTGGGCTGGTACCGATCTGGCTGTCTCTTGTTCAGACTCTGGATCTTGGCCCAGCCAAGATGTGTCCGGAAACAGAACCAGGGCCTGGTATCGTGTCTAAAGTCTGGATGGAGCAGGAGGGGATCAGTAAAGGTACCGATAGGTCGGATTATTGAGGAGCAGAACCAGTACTGACAGAACCTTCAGCAGGCCAGGCCCAGCAGGCCGGGCCCTTCTGGACCAGCTGGTCCAGGTTCTGCTAAAGACGGCGTGTCCTGGTTTTGGGTCGGTTCTGATGCTGTCTGGGCTGCAGTGACACCCTGAGTTCTTCTGGATTGTCTGTTCTATGAGGCGGAGGAACCGCTCCACCTGCAGATGGTCCCCAGTTCTGGTACTGTCCAAGACGCAGTGTCTCCCTTCACAGCGGGACAACAGATCCAAGACACAGCCGCTGGACCCGACCTGGTCCTGAACACTTCGGCCTCCCAGAGCGTCTCCGTGGGTGAACAGAACCACGCCGTGCTTGGAGAGGTTCCTGTCCAATGAGCGGGTCAAGAGCCGGAAAAGCCGCGAGTCAGAGGCGGACACCCGGCCGATCTTCACCACAATCACCAACACGTGAGGTCCTGGTTCTGCCAGCACCATGCTGGACCGGATCTTCTGCACCAGCCGGTCAAGGGTCAGATCTTCATCTGAAGGTCCAGAAGAATCCACCACGGTGAGTCGGAACCCGTCCAGCTCCACAGAACCGCTCTCCGCAGGTCGTCCAGTTCCATGGAAGTCACAGTCAGGCTCAAACCGGCGGAACCCAAGCAGAACGTTCCCAGCAGAACTCTTCCCGGACCCAGCAGGTCCGACCAGGATGATCCTCCTCTCGGTCAACCTGACGGATCTGTCAGGGTTTCCGACCCGATCCACATCAGGACCAGCTGCTGCAGGAACCTCCAGGAGTCCAGCCTTCTCCAGCAGCTCCTGGACCTGCCATCCCTCGCGGTTCTGGTTGTTGAACAGGTGGACCCGGTTGCAGAACCTTCTGGCCACCTCTGGGAGAGAGCTCTGCTGGTCCTGGAAGATGAAGTCCTGCAGTGAGGTCTTCCTTAGGCTGTCTCCGTGGGTGAAGAGCAGGAAGCAGCAGCTGAAGGCTCCATCTCCAACCACCCTGATAGCCGCCTCCAGCGACTCCCTCTGCTCCGTCGTAAACCGGTCCACCTTCAGAACCAGCAGGAACAGAACCGGTCTGAAGGTCTGAAGAAGCTTCTCGCAGTGGGACTGGATCTGCTCCTCAAACTCTAGGATTCCGGCCGTGTCCACGACTTGGAGCCACTTCCCAAACACTCGTCCCACCTCGGTTCTGATGGGGACGGTGCCGGGACAGAAGGAAGCTTTGGACTGGAACGCATCCCGTCCTAAGATGGTGTTTCCGGACGCACTCTTCCCCACCCCGGAGTTCCCCAGGAGAACCACGGTGAGATCAGCCTCTGGTTCTGGATCCATGTCCACCTGAGGGGTAGAAAGTTGGTCATCAGAACGGAAGATCACGATGATCATGACACAACAGAAATACAAAGAACAAAACCAGCCTAAAGCCGGGCATACACGATGCAATTTTCACGGTGATTTTCCAGTCTTGCCAGAATCTTTTAATCAGGCCAACTTTCAGCCTAATCGTGCGTCGTGAGTTGTGTAGTGTACAGGGGGTTATGAGGGGTGATCAGCCTCTCATGACCACCTCCCGATGAGGAATCGTAAGGTCAGGAGAAAATCAAACATGTTTGATGTTTTTTACCATCGTGGGCAAATCTCTCAGTGCGCATGCGCAAACAAGGATTTTTCTTTTTCTTCTTCCTCTTAGATGTAAACACAGAAGTATGGCGGGGGTGCAATGAGTGAAATGGAGTTCTGTCTGTAAAATTGACAGACCGTATTAACCACCTTTTGCTCAGCCATGTCTTTGTCCAAATATGTCGTCACCTTTTCTTTTTAGGGCTTTCAGCACAAATTTGCAATTGCCAAAGCAGCACGAGTCTGACGTGGTTTTAGTCGTACAGTGTGAGCAGGTATATCGCATGATAGCGTCATGCTGCACATACATCGTGATTTGTGTACGACTAAACCCTGCGGTTTATTCATACAGTGTGAGCTGTAGTTGTGTGCAACGATTGAAAAAAATGCACGCGTACGCCTGGCTTAACTGGAAAACTTCGGACATTTAGGACATCCCAACGTCACCAGTTGAATTTGACTTGATGCTTAGAACAGATCAATACATGGATGCACCATCAGTTTCTATAACTGAATAAAAACCAAACTGAGGTAATAATCCTCTCACAAAAGGAGAAGAGATACAGAGTTAGCTAACAGCTTCAGCTACTACTAGATGTGGAACGGTTCACAAAATCCACGGTTCGGTTCGGTTCACGGTTTCGTGGTCACATTTTTTGGTTCGGTATATGTTGATTGTTAGCCTGACATGTTGGTCATGTTGCTGTTAGCATAAACAAAACGTGTTGTACAATGCTTGCACACTGTTTTTATCCACAACTTTCTTTCCGCCGTCATCGTAGGTCACTCTAAATGCAAAGCGGTCCCATACAGCAGACCTATAAAGCGCTGCTGGTGCGTCTTCCAACTCCTGTTCTTTTCCACTCGCCATACCCACACAATTCTCCACAGCAACTGTTTTTTTCCTGCTACACCCGGATACGCTGCTTCGCTTCTTCTTCTTCTTGTTTACTACTGGTGGTTGGCTTTGGTCGCAGTACCGCCACCTTCTGCTCTGGAGTGTAAACGCTTTGCCTATGAGAAAAAGGAGCAGCGCATGAACCGAACGCAACACACGCGAACCGAACCGATACAGTCGAACCGAATGGTTCAGATGGTTTTCATAAACCGCTACATACCTACCTACTACAGCTAGAAAACCAGTGATAATGGCCGAAATCTTGGTGCCCTAGGTGCATAAAGGTGTTACCAGGTTAGCTTTTTATCACCTGAAGAACATTTTGAGGAGTAAGAGGCTTAGACTTTTATTTTGTCATTTTGTATACACGAGTGTAAACAAAAAGAAATTTAGTTTAAAACAGCTCTAGACAATTTCATTTTTAAAGTGCAGTCTTGAAAACAGTAATAAATAGATACAAAGAATAGTAATAGACTATTTTTATTAATAACATAACCCATTTTAAACAACATTCAGCAGTCTAATGGCAGTGGGGAAGAAACTATTATTGAATCTGCTGGACCTGTATCGGATGCTTCGATTAAAGGACTAATGTCCAAGCAGGATCTAGGAAAAGTCATTCATGCATTTATCTTTAGTGGAATTAATTACTGCAACAGTGTCTACATACAGTAGGTTTGCCTAAAGAGTCCATCAGACAGCTGCAGCTGATCTAAAACACTGCTGCCCTTGTCTCATTAGAACTAAGAAATTTGAGCACATCATCCCGGTTCTGAAGTCCTTCCACTGGCTCCCTGTAGCTGAAAGAATTTTATAAGATTTAAAATCCTTCTGTTAGTCTATAAATCACTGAATGGATCAGCACCTCGTTACATAACAGATTTGTTATTATTAGGTTTTGGTCCAACTGTTTTATTTGCTTTACTACCTTATTTAATACGTTTTTATCGTCACTTTCTGGTTTGAATTGTCTCTGTACTGAATTGTGCTACACAGGTAAACTGATCTTGTCTTGTCTAGGATATCTGGACCCAGCTCATCTTAAGAGATCCAGCAGAACCTAAAACCCAAGGTGGTGATCACCTCTCTTTGGTTCCTACACCTTCTAAAATCTGCTCCACCTGGAGTTCTGAAGGTCTGAGGAGCTTTGAGAACTTTGGCTCAATCCAAATACCTAAGATTCTACTTCCTCTTCCCGCCCTTTGTCCTCATGGCTATACAGTAGAACTCTATCCAGGTAGAAGAGGAGACTTCTACTCTGCTGCTCTACTACCCAAGGACTATAGGCTGATTTATACTCAGAAAACAGGTCATCTGCGTGGGTCGCAGTGAACGCAAATGTACCCCCGCCCCTCCGTAGACACTCTGGTGCACCTCTCTAAAACTGTAGGTGATCACAGACAGGAGGCCTCTGATTGGTCAAATCTACATTCGCTCTACACCATGAGTATTTCCTGTTTGGTATGTTACCGGCTTGTTTTGTTTGAATGACCGCCACTGTGGAAAACGACTGGTGAAGATGGACCAGCTAGAAGAGTGAGGTGCACGAGAATGCTGGGACCCTTTTTCCACCTGAATCCCTGCTCTTTTTCACCCTCATGTCCCTCCGTAGTTGCACAAACTTGCCCCCACTTACTCACTACCTGGGCCGTATCTACACACACAGCTAGTTTGTATAGTTTGAATAACATAGCGCAGGCTGTGTTTCAATACTGGATATAAATCAAAAAGATGGATGCTAGCAGTCATCTCTCTCTCTCTCTCTCTCTCTCTCTCTCTCTCTCTCTCTCTCTCTCAGATCGTGCTCCCTCATCTTGTGTCTCTCATC